GTTCTAGACCGAGAGGCAATACATTGAACCCCGCTTTGCCCGTCTCATGACGAGAAGAACCAGCCTGCCGTGCCTGTGTTGCGAAGTTGTCGAGCAGATACTTTGCATCAAGTACGGCCAACCGCAACTCTGACCTTCAAGTCGAAGCCATGCCGGTTTGCCTCAAAACCCCGGCGCAAGTGTGTCAGGGCGAAAGCGGTAATAGTATACGTACTCCTCGCTCGAACATCGCGAAAGCCGCCGCCATCTGGAAGTGGGACTTATATGCGAGATCATCTTCCCAGGTACCGCAATAATGGTATGGAGTTGACTGATATGTCTGTGTGTCGTATATCGCGTGTGAAACACGCCCATTTGCCGCGGAGACTCTGCTGGTCTCTGTAAGGGCATGGAGTACACGTCTTGAGCTTCGGCCGAGGCGTTGCATCTGCCATATCAGCATCCGTTCAGATCAAGCCGGTATATGCTGATATTGATTCTTCCCTTGCTCGCCTTCCTACTTCTTTCCCTTCACCATGTCTCTCTGAGAGGTAACACAACCACGTATACAGGCTCGCTGCAGCAACCACAAGATATCGCCATGCTATGAAAATTTCCGAGTTCCGCAAGACGGTCGATTGGCGGCACAAGGAGCGGAGACTGTGGCGATGTGTGTGAACGCGAGCACAATCGTGGCCTTTGGTCATTGAGATTGGCCGGGCCATAATCCTTGAACAGACGCATCGCCATCAGCCACCCTGAATGGATCTGAAGCGTGAAGGATTCAGCCACTCACTCATGACTGGCCAATTCCGCGTCTTGATTGCTGTTCAGCGCGCGTAAACTGCGTGCGGTGCGCCACTCAGGGTCAGGATCATACCTCGTATATTGCTGGCCCATGAGGCAGAAGCAAACGGCTGAGGATCAAGCATCCAGTGGTTTGGGAGGTGTTGCCGGGAGGAGATCGAAGCTAGTGCTCCGTTGTGGATGCCATACTGCGCTTGTGCCCATACCACGTCGAGGGTTGTCAGTCAGAATACCTAGCAGCAGCAGCCGTATGACCGTGATCCTCTAATGCAAGTACAAGCACATGCAACGGCTTATGCTGCTCCAGCGAAGGGACCTGTCAATAGCTGGAAGCAGTGAGACTGAGAGAGTGGGCAAAATGCACAGGGCCCTCGTGCTGTCCCATCGAGCCCCTAATCAACGCACTAAGCAGCCACGGTTGGACCTGCAAAAACAATGGGAAGCCTATCGTCGCATCCCTACGAAGCGCTCGTTTGCAACATCTCAGCTCGATGCTGGGCCGGGGCTGTCACCCTTGGTGTGTTCATCCGGGAAACATCGTGCGGGTAGCGCTTGATCAAGACGTCTGAGGGAACGGAGAACTCAAAGTCCCTCCGCATGCAATAGTGTAGCTGCGATCATAGATGCGACTTGTACTGTACTCCGTACTAAGTAGCGCAACGCTCATCTATCATAAATTAGAGGCGTGTAGTGATAGCCAGTGCGAAATAGGCAGGACTTACAGTGACGGAGGGAGAGCGAATCTCATCGCATACTAACCTGGGTTGAGCCAACCCAGGAGCGGACAAGGCTCGCCTGACTGGCGTGATCAAGATCCATAATTCAGAGGCATCTGATCTGGACTAGTCGTCATCTCAGCGAGATTGGGTCGGCGGGCCATCTCGCCATCTTACAAGGCCGCGATTGCAACGGGGTGCCACCCGCACGCAGCTATTGTAGCGCCGTCGCTGCTTGAGTTTCGGTAATAGGGGGGGTTGTCCGCTGGCTTCGAGGGTCGGTTGCAGCCCGTAGTATTTTCGTAGCAGCAGTACGTCGTTGTGGAACCAAAGCCCTAAACTCGCCAAGACAGATATGACGGTGCAAAGAATGTCTGCAAGGACCTTCTCGGACAATTCATGCTTGTAGAAAGTAGAGGCCAGCCGCTGAAGAAAGTGTCTGCTTTGTCAGTCGATGGGGCAGTAGCTGGACAAGTTGGACACTTGCGAACGCTTCTCCTTGACCAAGCAGCCTACCATTCTGTTCTGCCTAGGCAGATGTTGTCCTTCCCTGCTCCAGACTGTGTCAAGCAGGCAGTTGTAGACCTCACGAGGCTCATAGCGCCTGTATGTATAGAGACGATGCTGCTGGTCATGCCACCTATGCGAGAAGCGACCATCAGTACGAATTAGCTCCTCAGCAGACCGCTGGCTGAGTTATCGTGTAGATGCTTATAGGCCCTGGGGTGCTTGAGCTGCGGCCGTCGCTAAGGTCAAGACGATGGCCCACCACCAGTAGATGTGCAAGTATGTACGAGCAATATACTGAAGAGACACGATGCACGGTAACTAGCACCCCAGCCGAGGGGGCCAGATTTACCGCTCTGGACGATGCTCCGTCCATGGCGCCAAGGTTCCTGGTAGGCGAATCACTAAAAGCGCTCGTTGAAGCAAATCGCGGTTGCTTGAGGGCGACACAGGGCGCTAAATGGGAGCGATTGCAAAATAAGAGCAAGAAACAGTGCATCCAGTACGGAGCGAACAATCTGAGGCCGCATCGTCTTGGGAGGATCTTTTCGAATAGGGGGCGCAGTACAGCAAAGACGGGTGTTGATGAATCTCAGGTACAGACTTTGTATGAGTGACATTGTCGAGCTGCGGCATGAGAGGCCCGATCTGGGGACCGTGAATCTGGCATCGCCCCGGTTCCGAGATACCATACTCGTACAAGTCGACAAGCAATCGACGGCCGTTCTGGGCTGGTTGAGATGCGGTTGGCGGGCCCATCTCATTCAGACGTGCTGCGAAAGAGTGGCAAATGCGACTACTACTACTGCCGATGGTCAGCTGTGCTCCTGCATGAAGAAGTAATGCACGATCTTCCCCGTCAGCTCTTTGGTCCGTCGAGATCGTGCAACTGGATTCGCGTCAGCGATCCGATATCTGGCAGCTTCAACCAGTACTACTTACATTGCTCACCTTGCTGGTTGCTTCTAGAGCACCACACGGAAACAGGACAGTGGCTCCGGTACCTCGCACGCCCGTAGACGAGAGGCTGACGATGGCTTCAGCTAGGCGTCATCAATTCGCTGGTGAAGGGCCTCGACCCCGTCCGGCCCCGACTCGTGATCGCAGATTGTCTGATCGTTCCGATGAGGCAGGCGCATCTCACCATGCCGCACCAGAGCTAACGCCAGTGGAGCGGCAAGGTGCCGAGTATTACCGCTTCACTTGTGGAAGGACCTCAACTTCAAAAGGAAGCCGCCTCCTGGCCTTTCTGTCTGGTACTTAATAATGAAGGTGCTCAATGGGGATGGGCAAGGACGCTCCCAGACTGGCTTAGGCTGGAGCCGTTGGCTCCTTCCCCGTCATTGTATCGTTCCAAAATCTCTGCTGATCGCGTCCTGGAAGCGGGCCAGAAACCCCTGGTGTTCTCTTTCCTTTTTTCTCCCGCTTCTGTGGACACAAGTAAGGTAGTTGTACCAGGTAATACCTACTGCCGCCTGTTCTTGCCGTTGTCTTTCAGGACATGCATGCATGGTAGTGCATACTACCTGCCCTCGCCTTACATTGCAGGCAAAGGCTTACCTCGAGCTGATAGATCTTGTATATGGTACGGCAGGTGTGAGTACCTACTAACCTACCTGAGGTTACAGTATTCGCTGGCAACAAACCCTGGTCCATCATTTGTCCATCATTGATCATCTCATCTCCTCCGTGCTCCATCTTCATCATGCACCATCATCTCTCCCGTCTTTATAACCAACAGCGGCTGGCTGATCCGAGTTGGCTGGCTGGCTGAATGGCCACGATCAAAGCGCAAGTACTTCGTACGTAAGTGAATGGCCATGGCTGACTCCATCAGCTGGGTGCAAGTTGTCAGTCGACTTTTTTCAGCTCCGCAGCGCCTAGGCAAATAAGCAGCATTCTTCGCTGCGCGAACACTCCATATCGTGGCGTCAACAAGGAAGGGCGCGAATCGAGATCAAATACGGAGCACACCCTACGCGCATGCTGCGACCTCTGGGCCTGGGTCTCGGCGACCAAGCTCCGTATCGTACAGTGCCTACCTACCCACACGCCTCCGGCCCGTCGAGGCGCACGCTCTTTGGCTCTCTGCGCAGAAACATGGCTTCAGCCGCCCCTGCCACTGCCGCTCCAGCATTCCAGCAGCACGAGGAGTGCCGTTAGGAATCGGGGAGGGGTCCGCTGCGCCATCGTTTTCCCACAGGCTTCCAACGCCCACTCCCGCCCTTGTCCATCATCTTCACCCCTCCCGGCGCTAGATGGCAGGGATCAAAGTTCGAATCTTATGCTCACACCACCTGCACACCCGGGACCACGTTATGACCGCCCAAAATCGCTAGCTCGGACGCAGAAGCAAGTGCAATCCAGTACCGCGGATTTGCCTGGGCCGGGGTCCCACTCGCACTCATCTTGCTTGTCCCTCAATCTCTTGTCTTTGGGGCCGGGCCAAGGGCCTCCTTAGGGCATCCTCCCATCTCAGAAGGCTGTCTTTAGACCCCGGCCCATTGGTCGAGCCGCTCGAGGTGTACGGAGCCGACTCCGTACTGGCCCAGCTTTGGGGCTGCCATCACCCAACTTCTCGACGCCACCACGAGTTTAGATCTCTTGCCTGGGACCCCGGTCTTTGCGCTTGGGAGACAACAGGGCTTGGCCAACTCGGCGATGGCCTTTATTACCACCTAGCATCATCATTTATACATAGCCTTGTCCTCGCTTCCCGCTTCGCCCATTCTCTCGATCACAGCTTCCGACTTATCGCTGCCGCCCCCCACCGCGTCTGGACCCGGCCGACCTGCTTATACTGCCTGTACATATTTGTACATATGCGTGTCTGCTGCGATCATCCTTGGCCCCCGTTTCCAAGTCGTCAGCCCAGCCGTCACTCCACCGCACACGCCGAGCTCGACCCAGCGCTCTGTGCCCCTAGTATCCGTGCTAAGTCAGATGTATCGACGACCCTGAGCGCTAGATCTTTTGCTTGCCACACGCGCTATGGAACCGGGTGACGTTGGAACCCGACAGAGGTACGTTCTTACTCGTGCATTCCCCAGGCCTAGCCGCTCCATCATATACACCCCCCCCTCTCCAGCCGGCGGAATTATTAACTCGCATCTCCCCCCTCGCTCTCCAAAAGTAGTCTTCCTTCTACTCCTACGCGACCTGAGCATCAACCTCTGCAACCTCCCCATCCGCAACAGCAACACCGAGAAGCCGTCGACCGACGGTACCTGGACCAGCCTGTCATGGCAGCAGCCTCAGTTCTTGCCCCTAACGCCCATTATCCGCCGCAGCCATATCCCACCAGCTATTCTCATCCGCCTTCATCTGGGCCAACCGTTGCCAACATGATCTCCTCAGAGCCTCGACGACCGTCTCCCGACAACGAGTCCTCGACTCGTCAGTCACTACCGTCAATCTCAGAAGTCATTTCGGGTGCGCGACCCGGGCAGTACCCCCCGCCCGCGCACCCTCCTCTGCAGCCTGGCGCAAGTCTGCCGTCGCCGTTTGCCCCTTCTGCTCGACAGTATCCCGAGGCCGACAAGCACTCATCGCAGCCTCTGCACCCCGCTGCTTTCCCTCCTCGGCAGGAGAGCCACGCTGCCTACTCAGATTCCCCCAGAGCACCCTTTAGCAATGGCAGGCCCGGTCTGCCGCCGCCCGTGTCTGAGCGCCGGTCAACCCCCCCGACGAAGCACGATGCTCATCCCCTTCCCCATCCTGGCCGAGCCACCGAAGCCGTCTGATCACCGCTTGAATGGCGTGTATTCCCAACCGCCGCCGCCGCCGACTTCTGTTCCTTACCAGCCGGCACAGCTCCCCCCCGGCCAGCAGCCGCTCCCTCCTTATCAGGTTTCGCCTCGAGGTCACCCGGCTTCGCATCTGCCGGGGCAGTATGATGCTAGGCCGGCGCCCACGCACGCCGAAGAGGCCGAGTACGCTGCCAGGGCTCGTTACGACAACGGGACATCCCGATCGTTTGAAAGCTGGAGTTACCAGGAGGCTTTGAGTCGAGTGAGTGACAAGCCCAAACAAGCTTGACACAAAAGTATGATAGCTAACAAAGATTTATAGATTGGAACCTGCTCGCGCACCATCTTCAACTTCGCCGAGGCCTACGGGCGCATCGCCCAGGAGCAGCACGGATCTCAGCCAATCCCTGAACGCCTGCCGACTGAACGGGAAGTGAGCGATATGCTCTCCAACGTCGAGTACCTCAAGCGCTCTCTTGAGCAATGCAGAGAAGTGATCGTGGCATCGCTGCAGAGCGAGAGGGCCCGCGAAGGTGCCAAGCCGCCAAAGGGTCCTTACGAAGAAGACCAAGACGTTCCCATGTATGGAGACTCCATCAAGCCACCATATGGCATGACGGAAGTCAAAAAGCGCCGAGGGGTAAGTTGACGACGCCTTTTCCAGCCACCGCCGTCCTGTCTCGAAGGGGCTCCGCTAACAATGGACAGCGCGCTGCTCCTCCTGGCCGATGCCACAGCTGTAATCGCATCGACACACCAGAATGGAGACGGGGTCCCGATGGTGCCAGAACGCTGTGCAATGCTTGCGGTCTTCATTACGCGAAGTTGGAGCGCAAGCGCCAGCTGGAAGCCAGATCACTACGGCCCAAGCCCGAGGAGCGAAGCTAGAGCGCGGCTCGCATTCGAGGCTCGACAACATCTTCACATCCTTTTGCACCGTGCTTATTGGTCCTTCCGAGGCGTGGGGCTCAACTAGCAGCGAGTGATTCATGATTCCAAGAAACGATGAACATTTTTCTGAGTCAGAAAAACAAAATCTTTTGCAGAACAAAATACCCATTTCATTTACTCAAGGGCCTGCATTGAGGGTTTTACTGTACATGTCTTTTGGTTGCGGGGATTTCTTTATTTCTTCTGGCTTCTTTCTTTCTTTTTTCCCTTTTCACTGGGATTGGGCGGCAAATCACCACGGCATTGCGGGCGTTCAATATATATACACATATATACTCCAGGCTCAGGGCAACTTTAGCTTTCATGATGACAGTCTGTCTCGGGGACAATGATGCCAAATCTGCTTAGGACTTTAGACAAAAATAGTTTACTGCGTCTGCCACTACATCGCCGGTACCACTGCCATGGCAGCGACAAAATGAAAAAAAAGTTAATGGACGTTGATGGCTCGTCTAAGTGATGAATGCATTGGACCACAAGGGAGCACCAGAAGCAACCAGCGTTGGCACTCATTTCTTTGCTTCTATTCTACCTCAGCGTACCTAATGTTAGAATGAAGCGCAAGTAAGCGTGCATGAGGGCCTCGTGCGCGTGATACCGTTCAGCTGGTCTACTTGAGTTGATTGTGCGTATTATTATCTTTCTATGATTGCCACCACTACCAATCATGCCGCTCAGTTATGATAGAGTACCTTTGATTAGCCTGTGATTCCTCATTCTGCTCTGCGTCTTACAATGCCTATTGTCAGAGTCGTCTGTTGGCCTCTTAGCAAGATAGCCGGGTGCGTTGTGCGTCATAGGCTCGCAATCAGGCAAAGGCAAGGCAAGGCAAGGCAAGGCCGGGGCAGGCTACGCTAAGCTTTTTGGGCGAAATGAGACGGTGATTGGCTCATCTTGCTTTTTTAGTAATAGGATCGGGAGGAGGAGGATGGGGGGGGGAAGGGCAAGGGAAGGGAAAGGGAATGAGATCTTGGGGTGAGGGGGGGAGATCAAGTGACGCTGTGTTTCGGGTAGAGAAGGGTTGGAGTGAGATTAGGTTGTAGCACTCGGTCCCGCGGCTAAGGGAGGTATTTAGTGCTGATTTTCGATTTTGACGGGCGAGGCTGGGCTGGGCTGGTGTGTTTAGAATTACTATTTACAGTATATCTGAGGGGAGTGAGTACGTAAGGTAAGTCGGCGACAGGGACATTCTTTGCTTCTTCGACTGCTTGTTCTTTCTTTGTTCCGTGACTCTTCTTCCGCTTGTTTGCTTTCTTCTTCGCACCGGTGGATGCTTGTTCGTGGGTTTTCAATGGCTGGGGGCAACCGGTTTCTAGCGCCGTGTTTCTCTTTTCTTTTTCTTATTCTTGCTTGTTACTCTTTTTTTCGGTGGTGGGGTGTTTTGTTTGTACAGCTTTGCAGGATGCGTTCACGGCTGCAACCAACATGCTTCTATAATAGTTCTATGGCGTGACCGCCACGAGGGCTTTGCTTCTGAGGACGGAGATTTTTAATGCAGCAGTTGCTTCTGGTCCATGTGCCTTTATCTCTACTTTTCGTGGGGACTCGATTCTGTGCGAACTATTACTATGACGGGGGAGTTGAAAACGGCTTGTTTGTACGGTATGGAGTGCGTATGAACGAGGCAAGTTCATAAGCCTGAGAGAAGAAGGGGGACATGTACTTGACATTAGCGAAGCTTACCTACTTCTGCATGTTATTACATGTAGTATACGCTTCTCCCCTCGCTTGCACGGATCTTTCCTGTCACGAAAATCCGTTCAGCTGTTTGCCCTGCCCCTCTCATGCAGGCGATAGAACTTGCAGTCTAGCTAAAGTACATAAATAGCAAAGAAAAGGGGGGGTTCAAAAAGAAAGGAAACGGAAAACAAAAGAAGAGGAGGTTGGGGGGCCGCCTATCACGAAGGGGAGAGGGGGCTTGGGGTGAGAACTGACGGCGGACGGATCGGCAGGCGGGTAGCTGCAGCGACGGATATGCATGGCCTTACGAAATGGGAAGATGGATGATAGGACAAAGGCGAGGAGACAAGAAGGCCAGAAGGTGAGGGAAGAGGGGGAAGTGAAGGGCCTATTGTCGTCTGGCGAGATGCCTTGTGTGAGCGGGTGGGCGCCGCTGTGCAGAGGGGAAGAGAAGGAGAAGGAGATAGAGGGAGGACGGGGGGGTATTGCAGGTGTGATATTGCATGTGTCACTGCTTGGGCTTCGCAGGTTGGAAAGCATTCTTCCCCTATCTATCGTCATCTCTCTGTGTTTGCTGGTTGACGACTCCTTGAGTTACTGTACTATTCTGCTCGTCTCGATGGGCTTGATTGGAAGGAGTGGCAGCCCTGCACCATGCAACGAGATCGCTTGTTGGCTCGGACTTACACTACATCATCTCATATCTCGATGAAGGCCCGTCTAGAACGGCACCCAACGCACAATGGCCCGGGCTAGCAGCGGTGCTACTACTTACGACTTACTATCTACCCACTCGGCATCGAGTATTAGCCGTTCGTTTGTTTATCGTTCGGGGCCGTGCCGTGCCTCGGAGAGTCCGATGCAAAATAGCGTTGGCGGCGATTTTCCTCCCCCCCTCTGCCATGTGCTGCCCCGTACTATGGGGATAAACGCTATGACTTCTTTTCTGGTAACTGACCGAGGAAGTTTCGAATGATGAAGAAGCCAACGGCTGGGCCGCTTTCCTCCTTCGCGGACACGGATGAGGAGCACAGAGCAGGGTATGCGCTCTGCTGGCAATCAATCAGTCAAATTCGTCAATCAATCAATTAATCGCTGTCCTCCCATTACGCACGGGGGGGAGGAAGGACAGAAAGCCAGGACTTGGCTATTGTTAGTGAGACATGATACAACACAACACGACAAGGAAAGGCGGGAGATACACACTACCAGAGCTCGGCAACTTTGGCCTCGTCGCTTAGGGGGGGAGAAGAAGCAACAAACTTGCATTGGGCAGAACGCCACAACTCTGCTGGCACCAATCCCCATTTGATGATGGGTTGTCTGAGGCGTTGTTGCCCGTAGCCGCGTTGGAGGATGAGTGGTCAGCCAGCAGCAGCTGTAATAGCAGGAAGAAGGAGACTCGTCACAAAATTTCGTCACATCTCATCAAGCAGGGGAGAAAAAAAAAGAAAGCAGCCACGGGCCGGGAGGAGGTCCGGCGTTGTCATGCAAGGGCGATTGGTGAGGAGTGGATTTGAGGGTGGTGGGAAGACGCATGCAAGATGATACATGGGGGCAAAAGAGGGCTGGCTGCTGGGAGGAGCCGAGATGGAGGAAACAAGGCAGGCCGGGCTTTGCTCTACTCTTACATATGCGCGGGCGTACAAAGGAGTGTGCATGTATGTTGCATGAAACAGGGAGCAGGAAGTACGTATAGACAAAGGCAATGTGTGCAAAGTACGAAGTGGGTAGTACTATCTGCCTCTCATCTGAGAAAGAAAACTACGCCTAAGCAAGGTAGTCTAATAGGTGGTACGAGGCTGGAGAGTTGAGGTTCAAGGAGGGGGGGTCGCGGAAAGAGATCGGACAGGCGGGGAGCCTGCTGGACCTCATCGGACACAAGACGCGGAATCTTGTCTTTCTTTCCCTTTTTCTTGCGTTGCGGTTGTGTTGCCAGAAATCGTTTTTGGGTTGCGTTTGTGGCACGGGCCTTGATGCTTCGTGCTTCGTTGTGTGTGCCTTGGTGCTTCCCTCCTCCCTCCCCCCTCGTGCCCGTGCTCCCCCCCTTTGTGTGAGTGTGGTGTGTGCGTTGGCTTTTGGCGTCCACAAGGCTTATTGAGCAGCAAAAAAAGAAACGTGTGTTACGGGTACACCAGGCTTCTTTCTATTCTCTTCGTTTCTTTGCTTTTTGCTTTTTTTACTTACTTATACATGGGGAGTGACGCTGCGGACGAGTGTGTTTGTGGAACGGTGGGTTGTGGACGTGGACGTGGGTTATGGGTATGGGCATGGAAGTTGGATATAGGTGCATGCAGATGCAGATGCAGATGATTTATTATATGTGAGGATGGAGATGTTGGGTCTAGTGCTTTTATACTATGAGGAGAGTGAGGTTCTGTGACATGGTTAGGACGATAGTCGAGTTGAGCCTGCTAACTCGAGTTCAGCATCTAGTATTGCGACTCGAAACCAACTGCTTCTATTGATGCATCACATATAGGAAACATGACAACTATAGCCCAAAGATCCATAGCATCTCCAAGACGCCGTCCAGTAGCGCTCTGTGACGTATGCCACAGCGTAAGGAAAAGGCAAGCTGCCGTGGTTCTTACAACGTCTTGTCCATTGTCAAGAGGCAAAGGGGTAAAGCTGCCGGGCTTTGTGGCGTTAAGCTTGTATTACAGACGGAGCACAGAGAAAACATGGCAAATGGCACAATATAGCAATCTTTTTTTCTTTTCCTTCTCTCTACTACCTTTTTCCTCAAATCCTGCATCTGTTTCTGGCGGTCTCTTTTTCGATCTGCTTCCCGTCTCTTTTGCAGCCAGGGGCGTGAGGGGAGGGGGGAAAACAAACGAGGCTTGTTTTCTCCTTCACGCAGGAAGATAATATTGAGAGACAAGAGCTTCCGCTTTTGGCATGCAGTGCGCGTTTGTGAAAAGTGCGATTTTGTACGATGTATGTATTTTTGTACCCCCGTGTGGTTTCGCAGGAAGAAGAGACAAATAATCTGAATACTTGGTGACTTGCAGAGCGAGATATCCCTGTTCAAGTGGCTCTTCTTTGTTTTCTTTGCTTTTTCTTTTTTGTCGTATCGCGTGAACTGCTGAGGTATAGAGCCCCGGCTTGAGTAAGCGAGCTGAAGTGGTCTGATGTACTTGCTTTTTTACAGATTGCTACAACAAGGCAGTGTGATATAGTGATCACTGGGCTATTAATATGTATGTAATCTAAACTGTGGAAGGATCAAGATAAGGCGTTGGGAGCCAGCTATA